ATGAGTAGCAACTTAAGTTATGCCTAATCACAAGCTATTCAAATACTATTGCGTACTCGTTCCTATTTTGTTATAACAAGAGTATATATGTGCTTGATTATATATCTGGGTCAAAAAAATATTCGGAAATATGTGTAGTATTTTTTCATTTTAATATTAAATATAAGAAATGCTTATTTACTGTATTTTTTCGTTAGTGTCACTGATGATACTTCTTCATCCTATTTTTATGTATTTTTCCTCTATTTTCTATTATTTAACATCTAATTGCTACTATAGTAAAAAGGTCGCCATTTTTGTATTCGCCATTATATTAATACTGATAAATTGTATTATTTCTTCTGACAGAGTTTTTTTATAGTAATAATAATAAAAGGTTTTACTTGCTTATTTACCAGAGGAGGTGAAATGGACTGCAATTCGGGAGCTCAGTTAGGATGGCAGTTCAATAAGGATGCTATGATGTTTCAGGGTCATGTTCAACGCAATCAAGCCCCTTCTGAGACTGATAACCTGATGCAAATGCCTCTGATGGGTCCTGCTATGATGAATCCCACTGCTGGCGTTGAGTGGGCTCAAGCCTTCCAAAATTCTCGAAATGCAGCTATTTCGCGACAAACTAATGAGATGGAACAAGCTTTCCTTGCATCTCAACAAAGTGGGGTTGCGCCGATGGCCGCGATTTCTAGTAGTCCACTTACTATGAACCAACACCAACAGCAGCAGCAAATGGCTATGATGACTGGAATGATGACGGCCAGCATGGGTGCAGGGTTGATGTTGCCCCGCACACAGTATCAGCCTACCCCACTCAACCTTACGCAGATCCAGCAGCAGGACGCTTCAACAGTTGTTAACAAGACGGTCACCCCTCAAGAAGATTGGACTAAGCAGCTAGGGCAACAACAATGGGCGCAGGACTACACGAATGTCGAGAACTTCACGTTGGAAAACCAAGCAGCGGAGTCAGTCGAGGAAAAAACAAAAAACAGCGAGTTCTTCTCGTTCATGGATCGCATCCGCAATCGTGAGGTTCTCATCGATGAAGAGAAGGGTGAGCTAGTCGCAGGGCCCGGACCAGAACCGGTGGTGATGGAGGATATGGAATATCTCAAGGCATGGAGTCGGGAAGAGGGCCTGAATATGCCGGATAGCGTATTCCGTGCGCAGCCGGAGGACGCGCACGAGCAAAACATCGACGACTCGCAGGAAGTCGAAGACTGGGCGCGTGAATACATGGAAAGTCAGAGGAATGCTGAAAGGGCCGCCAATTCGACTGACTACCCATTTGAGCCTAATAATCCGTACGTTCACCATGACAACCCATATGAAGATGGTTTGCAGATGCTCCAGTTGGGCAACCTTCCAGAGGCTGCCCTTGCTTTTGAGGCGGCATGTCAAAGAAACAATGAGCATTTTGATGCGTGGCGCGTGCTGGGTACGACACAGGCCAATAATGAGAAGGACACGCTGGCCATTATCGCTCTCAACAATGCACGTCGGATTAACCCTCGAAATTGTGAAGTGCATGTGGCACTGAGTGTGTCACACACCAACGAACACAACACCGAGGCCGCCATAGATTGTCTGAAGCAGTGGTTGCTAAACCACCCCGAGTATGAACAGCTGGCCCAAATCCCTATTGAGTTGAATCAGGCGGCTGACTTTGATGTCAGTGAGGCTTACTTTTTCTCGGACCCGGCCAAGATGCGTGAGGTCGTCACTCTATATCATGCCGCCCTGGAGATGAACCCTAACGATGCGGACCTGTACACTAACCTTGGCATTCTCTACAATATCTCACACGATTTTGACTTAGCGGCTAAGAACTTCCAGAAGACCGTGGAGCTGCGACCCAATGACGCCAAGTTGTGGAATAAACTCGGCGCGACCCTCGCCAATGGCAACCACTCGGAGCAGGCACTTCAGGCGTACCAACGCGCGCTTGATGTCGATCCAGGCTACGTGCGCGCAATGTTCAATATGGCGGTGGCTTACAGCAACATTGGCAAATATTCACTGGCCGCCAAGCATGTTGTGCGCGCACTGGCGATGCAGCAAGGTGATACGGACCCGAAAGGCGAGTCTAATCTTATCGCGACACGCGGCATGTGGGATTTGCTACGCATGTCTCTCAATCTTATGGAACGACATGACCTTGTGGATCTGACCTTTAAAATGGAGCTTGCGCCCTTCATTAGAGAGTTTGGTCTAGAAGGTATGGTTTGAGACAGGAAACTCGAGGTATGGCGGCACATTATTCCCTTTACGGTGCTGTTTTCAACGTATTATTTCCATTTGTTGGGTTCATTATTAATCAAAAAGGAAAGGAGAAAAAGTGTTTGGACTGTTGGCAGCAGTAAGGAGCAGGTGAAGCAGGAAAAAATAACTTTCATCTCCATAAACGTGTCCCTTGGGAAAAAAATTATTTTAAAATTATTGTTTTTTAATGTGTGCCTTGACTTTTCATCAAATCAGCATACCTCTCTATCTTTGATTAACCCACCTATTTGCATTTTTTCTTGTCCAAATGGAAAATTGCTTCTGTTTACTCCTAAAAGTGACGTAAACTGCATTTGATTTAGGAAAGCATTATGCAAAATGAGTGAGGGATCGCTAAACGGCACGTCATCTGTTTAAATCCGTGAGTTGACACAGAAAAAAAAATTGTAATATGAAAAATACGATATATTTGTATGCGTTTATGTATGTGTTTACTATTACGGTGTGGAATCCGTTCCTCCTTTCCTTTCACTATATTATTTCTTATCCAGTAACAGCGAAAGCACCACCCTACACCTATCTTACACTTGCATACTCCCTAGGTAACACAATGGGTAAGACTATTCTGAGCTGCCGTAAGGGTAACGGTTCCGTGTATCAGGTACACGGCCACAAGCGTCTGGGCCCCGCCAAGCTCCGTATTCTGGACTACG